GTGTGGGGGGGGGGGTTAGGGTGTGAAGGGGCTAAGAAAACATTAAGATAGCTTAAAAGAAAACAAAATAAAAAATGAAAGGGATGGTTTTGGGGGACTATCGGGCCGACTCTGATACCTTCATGGAATTGGATTGATCCCCACTAATTCCGAATCTGGGTCGACGATTCCTGATCCTTATTAGTGGGTTTTAAACAACGGTTTGGAATATTGTTCATTCTCTTTAGATGTGCATGAATACGATATTTTCAAGTTCTATGAAGGCATCTCAGAATTGTCCATGTCTCCATGAAAGATTTACATTTTTTTTCTATTTGTTACTTCAAATACTCCTATATCATTTTTTTAGGGGGAAGAACTTGTACAGTATTAGCTCAGGAGCTTATGTAATTGATCTGTTGTTGTTTATGTGTATGTGTATGTGTGTGCGTGCGCATATGCATGTCTGTGTTTGTGTGGATGCACGCATGCTTGTCTATATGTATGTTTCCATATATGTATTTATGTGCATGCATATTCCCCATGTGTGCACCTTATGTGTATTTACATGCATGTTGGTGTATGTATGTTTCTATGTGTATTTATGTATGTAAATTTACACATCCACGTATACATGCTGATGAACTGTTGATAACTTGTTGAATTAAAAGGATTAGTCATTGGTATTTATCAATTGCACGCTGGGTGCACATTCAATTGTCAAGAATTATTTTTTATCCCTGTTTGTACTTGGAATCATCTAGTGATGTATTTTGTTTGTTCTGTACTTTTTTTTTTTTTGCTTATCTTTACTGATGAACTGAGTCAATTTTTCCGCAATAACATTGTTGGTATATTTGGTTTAAGTAGGAGTATTGGGCTTCCAATGGATGTGCTGTTATGCAGTGTAGCAACACAGAGGTTGTACTCTCCTTATTTTTGTTGTATTTTTATGTTGATGCACAATTATTCATGTTATGATATATATAGTTTTGATTCTTTATGAGTCAATCCATGATTCGTGTTCCATAATTTTAAGGTTCTTCATAATGAACACTTGAAAAGTATCTCTTACTTGCTTACTGATAGATACACCTTATTTGGTGATTAATAAATTTTAATTGTACCAAACATCGATTAAGAAAAAGAAAGAAATAGTTATACCAAAATTTCAATGTTCCTACTTCTTATGAGTATTGATACTCTATATTGGACCAACAAGGTGTTTTTTTTTAATTTCTTATGTACCTTTTTGTCTGACCACCTATCTTAAGGTTGTTGATGTGGTGGCTTGACCTAATCATTCAGGTTGGAGCAGGAACTATGAATCCGATGACTTTCTTGAGGGTTCTTGGTCCAGAGCCATGGAATGTCGCGTAAGTATATTTGTAGCCACATAAAGTGCAATATTCAATTCTTAACACTGCTCTGTTCCATTTTTTCTTCTAATCACACCCTCATGCTTCTATCCCTTAGCATCTATGTTGTCATTGATGTTTCTAAATATTCTGGGCTCCTAAGCATTTTGCAACATGTTCTGAGGCTGGAAGAAGTTGTTGGAAACAAAGTCTTAAATGTTGTAACGTTTTTGTAGATATAGATTTGCCTTCTCTTAATGCTGTGTTGCAAATGAGAAGGATAGAATTTTTTTAACTTCTTTCATCAGTGAAAGTGGTTTGGGTTTTATTGGAGGACATTGATGTTTTAGAGTTCTGTTGCCAAATTCTTAGAACCCATACTTATTGCAAAGTGGCCTTTCTTGGATGGAGTCAAGCTTTACTGTTTTCATTAGTGTTCTTGATGGCTTCTTTGGGCAGATATGTAGAACCAAGCATACGGCCGGATGACAGTCGTTACGGAGATAACCCAAATAGACTACAACGTCACACTCAATTTCAGGTTTTGTTTTATTGTCCATTTCATATAATCTATGAGGTGGTTATCCGTGGTTGTATGATTTGCATATCTTGAAACTAGTTGGCATATCTACCTTGGATATCTTTGCGCTTTGTCAAACATATATTTTTTCTGACTGCAGGTTATTTTGAAGCCAGAACCTGGAAATTCTCAAGATCTATATATTCGTAGCCTTTCAGCACTTGGTATGTTAGAACTCATGCTTTTGTTATGCTGGATGTTGTTTAGCTGGACAGTCATATCCACGTTAATTGTATTTTCATTTTAAATATAATTTGGGGAAGTTTGTCCAGCTGCTTTTTTCTTGCAAATCTGTAGTTTCTGAGGCTTATGCCCTATGTGCTATGAGGTCTTAATAGTTGAATGTGGTGTAGAAGTGTGTTTTGTAAATCACTTTCTTTTTAAGTGTTGGATTACAGTAAACCTATTTGCAAATAGAATTTATAACATTGCCTACAATCAACTTTTTTTATTTTCATTTTGGCTAAGTTAGTCTGGATTTTGGTGGGACCCACCCAGTCATATTACTTTCACGAATTGTCTAAAATTAACTTGAAAGAATAAATACGAACCATTGTGTTGAGGAATTAATAAAGCCTCCTCTACCTCAGAAGGGAGTCCTTATCTCACATAAAAGAAAAATGATCCACTTTTATTAAAGGAAAAATTTTATATAGAGCTGAGGCTCTAAACAATCAAATTAGAGCCCACCTCAAAAATTTCACTAGAAGAGCTTGTTTCGATGCCCAAATATCCTCAAATTGATCATCTCAACATCAAGATGCATGAACATGAGAAAAAAATGGATTTCAAGTTTTGGAAATAGTGCATCTTGTAACACATTTTTGGACCGTCAATTTTCAAGATTTTCAAGTTTTCATTGATTTGCTCGATCTACACTATTTTTAAAGCTTTAAATTTTATAATTAAAGATGAAAATATATTTTAAGGCTATCACAATGATTTCCAATATTGAAATCACATTTCTCGACACTATATGAAGGTGCGCTTTACTTTGATTGTTTAGAGCCTCGGCTCTATATAAACTGCACCCTTTATTAAAAAATCTAATTACGAGTTTATGTTTTTTCTACTAGACTTACAAATCCAATTTAATCAACGGCTAACAATGTTGTCATTGTATTGTACAGTGATCTAATTTTTAATGTATTTCAAATATCAATATATCTCTCGACTTTAACAAATAGTATACCACAAGATTACGTTCTTACTCCCCAGACATACATGAGCTAATTGGCTAGATAGTTACTGATGCCAGACAAATATCAATGCTGTTGCTTTCCGAAATCTTACACTGACCAATGTCTGCTATGGAATTACTGGAGAAGGATTTTTGATATAATAGTTTATGCATCTTTAATTCCCATTAAGCCCTTTTTGTTGTGTTAGTTATGCATTTTTAGTAGTTCTGGCGTTGTTTGTAGTGTCTGAAGCTAAATGCCTTACAGGTATTAATGTAAATGATCATGATATTCGCTTTGTGGAGGACAACTGGGAAAGTCCGGTAATGCTTCATATTGTGTAACCTAATGCTTGAATGGCATCTTCTATTTGCCAATCCATCTGTTTAATATGAACCAGGCACACACATGCAGTTTTGCTAGAATTGCAATAGGACATCATTTGCCAAAGTTACTAGTTGTTGTAAACGCTTGGTTGCTTCTCCCAGATTTCACCCTTTTTGATTGGGGTGTTTTGGCATTTCTCTCATGAATTGCACATGAAAGTTTTTGTGCTTATTCAAACTATTTAAAACTCGTTCTGTTTAAGTTTGATAGGTTCTTGGTGCCTGGGGACTGGGCTGGGAAGTCTGGATGGATGGTATGGAGATTACGCAATTCACCTATTTTCAGCAGGTTTCTATTTTATTAAGTCCCAATATATATTTTTAGCGTTTAGTGTTTTTGGGAATTTCTCTTTTTTCTGGCCGTAATTCTGTTACTGGGAGTTTCTCAGGTTCTATGGTAGGCATATGTTCATAATTGGTGCATACCATTGTATGGTTCTTTCCAGGCGGGAAGTCTGCAGTTGCTGCCTGTTTCAGTAGAGATAACATATGGCCTTGAGCGTATTCTCATGTTGCTTCAGGTTATATTTGTATTTTCTAACTAATAGCGCATGCTATTTGCACATTGGAACCCCAACATTTCGCTTGGTTGATGTGGTGCTTTCTGAACCTGATTGGCAGGGGGTTGATCATTTCAAGAAAGTTCGGTACACCGAGGACATCACATACGGCGAGTTGTTTTTGGAGAATGAGTATGCCTTCTTGATCATTTGACTGGTTGAATTGTTCCAAATGCTAACCTGTCATTGAATTTGTAATGAGAAACTGAAAGTCCAGGTCTATGTCTGCAACTTAAATAAAAGATGCTTTCTTTTAGAAGGGCGTGTACAGCGTTGTAGATTTGTTCTCATCTAGCCATTTCTGAAAATTATAGCTTTTTGATCTTTATACTTCTTGACAAATAACAATTTTCTAATCAAATTTCAGGAAAGAAATGAGCGCCTATTATCTTGAGCATGCCCATGTGGGTCATATTCAACAGAACTTTGAGCTTTATGAGGGGGAGGCTCAAGCCTTGCTGTCACTGGGACTTGCAATTCCTGCGTATGTCTCAGAAACCAACCTTATGCCTTGTGAAGGGCCTCTGTTCTCGTATACATAGAAGTGTCTCAACAACTTTATTGTGAATATCATGATAATTGTTGTCCATGTTGTCAGTTTTTGTTAAATTTGATCCTATCTTCCTAATTTCTTAGGTACGACCAGCTTCTGAAGACCTCTCATGCTTTTAATATTTTAGATGCTAGAGGCTTTGTTGGAGTGACAGAACGAGCACGATATTTTGGTCGTATGCGGAGGTACATGTGTATTCTTCTTTGTTACAATATGTTCTTGCCAAAAGGGGAAGACAAGAGAACTCTACCTTTCTTGGAACATCTCCTGTCCTGTTTGAGCAGTTGAAATAAAGTTTTCATGGTTCCTGTTAAGTTACTTAACCCAAAATTTGGAACTCATGCATCGTTATGGACATCCTTATTATCATATTCAAATATATGGTATCGTGAAGCAGCAATGCCCTTCGAGTGTTGAGGCTTGGAGTTAGGCCTTCTTGTTGTGAGTGTTAAAATGCTTGTAGTGTTTGCTACTTTGAATATAGTTTCCATCCAATTATGTTTAGCACGGACTGACCATAAACCGCCAGAGTGGTGGCCATCCAGGTTGGTGCAAACTTCTTGGACTGGAATGTCTATCAAACCAGCAGAATCTGTGGGGAGATGGTTTGATGACTAAACCAGCCAGTTCGACCGGTCCAGGTCCAAGACAAATTGGCCAGTCCTGATATGGCTCTAAAAAGATGAAGAAACTTTTTTTTTGTTTTTTGGATTTTTAAATCAAATTTTGTTTTTCGTCCTTTCGAAAGATGTTAGGGGCATTTTGAGTAAGTTATATTTAGAAAGATACAAAAAGTAGATATATATATATATAGAGAGAGAGAAAGGCTGAGGTTAGCCCACTAGCTCACAACTACATATGAGCCTAATGGCCTAGATTGAATCTAAGCCGATCTTATGGTCACGACCTCATTTCGTATTTAAATTTTAGTTTTTTTTTTTTTAAGTCTAAATTGTTTGAAATTTTGGGTGTGTATTCTGTAAAATAGGAGAATCTAATAAAAATATTAGAAAACTAATTTGCAAAAACTAAATTGACCAAAATACCCCCAAAACTTTTCTGGGGTATTTTGGTCAATTTATTTTTATTAATTATTATTTTTAATATTTTTTATTAGGTGTGCTTTGATGATAAGAATGGATGCCTAAAATTTCATGTGATTTGCATTTGTAGAAAAAAAAATAAAATTAAAATACGAAATGAGGTTGTGATTGTCAGATTGGCTCAAATTCAATTTGGACCGTTGGAGTTATATGTAGATGTGAGCTAGTGAGCTAACCTCAGCCTTTTCCCTATATGATATATATCTATATATATATATATAGACCCGGTTTCTATACAGCCAAGCCCACATATGTAGAAATGCAAGCTTCTTAATAAATCTATTTTTGAGATGGATTTTAGGACTTAATTTTTAAGGACATGTAATCTCTAACATGGAGATCGTAAATATGAAAAAATAAATAAAAGTTTAAAACTGGAAATAACAATTCTAGTAAGAAAACACTTGGACAGTTAGTTTCCATTGTTTTTAGATGGACTACCTACTTGCATTGCTGGGTGCTTTACACTTTCTGGACCGCACATGTAGAAATGCGGTCCAGCCCGCATGAATTTATATATATATATATATATATATATCAGCCTACTAGCTGACAGCTACAGTAAATGCCCAATGGTCCATATTGAATCTGGGCCGATCCAACGGTCTCGATTACATTTCATATTTGAAAATTTTAAATAAAACTAAATCACTTGAAATTGGGAGCGTCTATTCTTAAAAAATAGGAGAATATAATAAATATATCTAAAAAATAATTCACAAAAAATTAAATAGACTAAAATACCCGTAAAAGTTTTCAAGGGTATTTTGATCAATTTAATTTTTGCGAATATTTTTTTTGAAAAAAATATTTTTATTAGGTACGCCTTGATGAGGAGAGTGGACGCCCCAAATTTCACGCGATTTGGATTTGTAGAAAATAATCAAAATTTAAATACGAAATCCAGTTGTGTTTGTCAGATTGGCTCAGATTCAATCTAGGCCGTTCGGCATACACTATTCCATCAGCCCAGGGTCTGATATGATCTTTTCCCATATATATATATATATATATATATGGGAAAAGTTTATATAGAGCCGAGGCTCTAAACAATCAAATTTGAGCCTATCTCAAAAATTTCACTAGAAGAGGTTATTGTGATGTTCAAATATCTTCAAATTGATCATCTCGACATCAAGAAGCATGGACATGAGAAAAAAATGGATTTCAAGTTTTGGAAATAGTGTATTTTGTGACGCATTTTTGGACCGTCAATTTTCAAGATTTTCAAGTTTTCATAGATCTATCGATCTGCACTATTTTTGAAGCTT